GGCACCCAGTTGTCGAGGCGCTGGTGCGTCATATTACGTCTCAGAAGGCCACGGTGGAGTGCATCACGTGCTAAGTGCGATTTGCACCAACTACTGGATACTGCATGGAGCTAAAACAGTGAAGCGAGCGGTCGGAAGCTGCATCCGCTGCTGGAAGCGCACCGCCACTCCGTGCCAGCAACAGATGGCACCATTACCCCGTGCCAGGGCGGAAATTGGTTGGTTTCCATTCAAGAATGTGGGTGTGGAGTACTTTGGCCCTATTGTTGTAAAGCAAGGAAGGACTGTGGAAAAGCGCTTTGGGTGCATATTCAATTGCCTGCAAACCAGGGCAGTGCACTTGGAAGCAGCCCACGACCTCTCGACTGATGCATTCATTACGGCATTCATCCTTTTCGTCGGCAGACGCGACTGCCCATCAGAAGCATATATTGACAACGGAACGAATTTCGTCGGGGCGGTTAGGGAATTACGTGATGGTGTTAAAAAGTGGGATCAAAAACGGATTAATGGAGAGCTATGCCTTCGTGGTGTGCAATGACATTTCAATCCACCATTTGCAGGTCACAGGGGCGGGGTGTGGGAAAGAATTATCCGCTCTGTAAGGAAAATATTGTACGGCGTAAGCAACGAGCAACGCCTTACTGAGGACTCCCTAGCCACTGTATTCGTAGAGGTAGAACGGATTCTAAACAGTTGCCCGCTAGTTCCACCCACCTCCGATAGCCAAGCTGCTCCTCCATTAACCCCGAACAGCTTACTTCTCATACGATGCGAAACCTTGCAGCTACCAGACATCGACATCAGAGACAGGAAGTAAGTAGCCCACGTAGCCACGGAATTCTGGAAGAGACGGTTAAAGGAATATATAACAACATTACAATCTCGACAGAAGTGGCAGCTTCCGACCAAGTCTGTAGAAAGAGACGAATTAGTGTTGGTGGCTTCCGAGAAACTACAAAGGTGTTGTTGGCCGCTGGGTCGAGTCGTGAGTTGTGAAGCCAGCAATGACGGTTTAGTAAGGACGGTGTACATTAGAACGAACTCAGGTGTATTAAAAAAAGATGTCAAAGTTGTGCCGCCTGGAGGGCGATGAGTAGCTGCGCTTAAGTCTGGCTTATAGTGCAAGGTGGTAGTCATGGAAAACGGATTTCAACCAAGCGCTTCGGTGCACAAAGACGCCCACGACCGGCGCTTGGTGGGAGTCATGGAAAGCGGCTCCTGCCAAGTCGCTCTCGTGTAGTTGCGTTGCTATTCCTTCAGTTTTTTTAAGGAGCGCTAATGTAGGTAGTTGTAGGACCGAGAGTCAGAGTGGAGTCGGGACGTACGAGGCGTCAATCGCAGCAGAATTTCGTAGACAGTGTAACGCGATTATCTACCCATGAAATTCTTCGACTCTTCGTTTCTTGGTCTAGTCCACAGACATTGGCCGATCGTTGATGGATATTGACCAGCTTTCATGTGCGCCTCCTTACATTCCCATTGTTAGCGTTGTAGGTGTGTCTGTGTGTGCAGGCTAATCCCAGGACTGGTTCCGTGTGTGTGCGTCTACTGAGGACCTTGGATCTCCAACCCTACTCTTTGCCGAACAGGACACGTTCAGCCCGGAGCATGTGTCGCACCCCATCCCCCATGCACTGGTCGCTTGTCCAAACACCATGTTTATGCGTGCCATTAAGCTCTCACCCTGTGATTGGACTATCCCTTTATTGGTCAACGCCATTATTCTTAATACTCGTAGCACTCAGATGTGGTGACTTGCTCCCTTGATTGTCCGGCGTAGACAACTCGTCCCTCATATTGTTTACTGACACCCTGTTGTCCACTTGCATACACCGGGATACTGAACAATTGAAGTATGTTCCAATTATCAACTGTAAATATTTTAGTAGTACCGTAGTATTTGTGATCAGACTTGTTTCGATTTCGGGATCTTTGTCTACGCGTTATTCAACGTTCACGGTGGACGTTACAGCATACGGTCGCTCGAAGACCGAGTCAACGCTATTAAGGACTTTCCCGTTCCGACTACTTTGGCCGCCATCCGCCGTTTTAGTGGGATGATCAACTACTACCGTCGATTTCTGCCACGTTGTGCCGACTTCCTCAGTCCATTGACCGACCTACTTCGTGGACGCAAGAACGGCAACGTCGAGTTGACGCCTGCTGCAACCGAAGCCTTCAAGGCCTGCAAAGAGGCCTTGGGTGAAGCGGTTTTGCTTCACCCTTTAGACCCCAAAGCCCCACTCAGCGTTGCACTCCATGCATCGGACACCGCCATTGGCGCAGTCCTGCAGCAATGTACTGAAGGATGCTGGAAGCCACTCGCTTACTACTCCCGACGCTTACAACCGGCAAAGTCAAGTACAGCACGTTCAGCCGCGAACTGCTGTCAGTTTATTCTACCGTCCGACATTTCAGGCACGTCTTAGAAGGTAATTCGTTCGTTATCTTCACCGATCATAAGCCGTCTATTTACGCCTTTCGAAATCAATCAGCTCGACACTCACCACGTGAGGTTCGTCAGCTGGATTTCGTGGCTCAATTTTCCACTGACCTCCGACACATTTCAGGTCAGAATAATGTCGTTGCTGACGCTGACACCGCTGGCCAGGCAATCGACTTATCTGCCATGGCTACCGCGCAACTAAACGACACTGACTGTCTGAACGTCAAACAAGATTCTTCGCTACGAATCACATCGCATCCACTGCCGTCATCTGATGGCACAATCTTGTGCGATACTTCTACTGGACGACCTCGACCCGTCGTTCCAGAAACCTTACGACGTCTAGTTTTCGACACACTTCATAACATCGCTCATCCAGGCATCCGAGCCACGGTCAAGCTCATATCCGAGAGATACGTTTGGCTCGGAATGCAACGCGATCGTAAGCGCTGGGCACGCGGTTGTCTAACGTGTCAGCAGGCCAAGATACAGCGGCACGTGTCCGCTCCGTCTGGTCGTTTTCCGCAAGTCTCAGCTCGCCTCGCCCAAGTCCATCTTGACATAGTTGGAGCCATGGCACCTTCCAGAGGAATGGTCTACATTCTGACCATGCTCGACCGATACACCCGTTGGCCCGAGGCCGTACCTATACCCGACGTATCCGCGGACACCGTAACGCGCGCTTTCGTTGAGCCCTGGATCGCTTCACATGGCTGTCCAGCCACCGTGACCACCGACCGCGGTCAGCAGTTCGGATCCGTGACCTTCAACGATCTTCTCAAAGTCCTCGGATTTCAACGCATCCGGACTACCGCCTAACACCCGCAATCCAACGGCATGGTGGAACGTTTCCATAGACAGCTGAAGGCCCCACTTGGCGCCGCTAATGCACTAAGCTGGACCGAAGCACCGCCTATGATACTACTTGGTATCCCATCAGCGCCTAAAGCTGATTTGCACCGAAAAGTCGTCGGAGAGCGCTTCCTTATGCACAGTAAATCATCATGGAGATGCAAAAGCGTCCATCTGTAAATAGTGAACCCCATGAGTTCCACATAGCATATTGTCAACGCCGAGTTTGAGATTGAAGTTTTGGCTCACTGTTACAACAAGGTTGAGTTGCACGTTGTGCAAAGGCATTAATGAGGTGAATTGGGCGCGTGATGCGAGCGTATCTGGTGTTTCCTGAAAATAGCCGTTTAATTAACGAGTTAAAATACCCGCTCGGTTAAAAGCAAGGTCCCAATTTGTCAGGGTTTTGAAAGCTACTAAGCTCTTCTTGCAAAGCGCTTAATTTCTTCCAACTACTAAATCGATGTATGCTTTTGACGACAACGAGAGGGGATATACCAAAAATACGTAGTCTATCGTAAAAACGTATCCTATCCAAAGCGCGCCTAGCCTTGGCCTTTTGTATGCCCTGCAATTTTCGGTTGTACACAAGCACATTGCACTGCCTTCCCATAGCATTTTCTGCATTACGCGCATACTAATCGAAGTGTGCGTTCACTTCAACAAAGTTTGCTAAGAGGTCTTCGAAGACAGATCTCCGATCCCGGATCATGGTTTCTGCCGAGGTGAGCCTATTCAGCTCAGTCTCTACCGAGGCCTTTGGCTTCTCAGTGACATGAGGAGGCTGTATCTGATGTCCTCCGCTCAGGAAACGCGAGCAAATATCCGCCAAGCACGCACCATGTAACAAACCAACTTCAATTTAGGATAAATGAGCATACATAAGTAACCTCGTCCAATCGTAAACAATTATTGTGTTACCAGAGTAAGCGTCTGCTACACTGTATGCTTTTCTATTACACCCTCGCAGCTATGCTGGCCACAAAATAAGTGTCCTTTAACTCCATGAACAACGAACCGAAGCCGAAACTACACGGGAAATAATACACTTGAAGCTAAGTAAATAACGTGGTACAGTACGAGGAGAGTACTAAAATGCTGTGTATTATAAAATAACAACACAGCGACAACAAGCAAAAAGGGAAAATCTCTTTAGCTAGTGACACAAAATTGGAGCGAAGTCACTAAGATGAAATTTGCTAAAATTCAGTTCTTGCTTTACTTCCTGTGTTCAGGTACGTATATAAACTCAAAAGTTTAAGTGCAGGTAGGGTGCCTGATTGGCTTGCTGGTACAATAAACAGACTGTTCGTTAGTACCTATCTCGATAGGGCCCGGTCGGGTCGGGACCGTCAGTCGAAGAAACTGCAGGTTCAGGTTAACGAGGTGCGCGGTCCAGTTACTCTGTCAAAGATAACTATAGAAAATAAATGGAACAGAGTAGGGTATTCGCACTCTATCATTTTAGAACACACCTTCAAGTCAAATTTTCAGGCAAAAAGTAGAATATCTTTACCAAACTTTGAACTGCGCGCCTGGAGAAGTTTACCAAACGTAAGCAGAAGTATAAAGCCATCTCATTAAAAGGTAGCAATTTATTATTAAGTCATGATAAGCCGTGGCAATATAATTTGTTTAAAGTTCCTGACTTGTTCACAACTGTAAATGTAAGTAACCCGCACTGATTAAATTCTTCGAAATGCCTGTTAATGAATCCTACGTTACCCAAGTAAGTAAATATTTATGCATTTAAATGAACGGTACCAAAATGTTTTATGCAGCTAAAGTAGCAAGGTTCTCAGTGGACTCAGACCTACCGATCTGCTTGAACCAGCCACATCAGACAACTTGCAAGGCCATTGCATGAAATTGATGCATGATAGATCTAGGCTGAAGTAAAGAGCTAAGTTACTTGCAAAGCGTTTTGTGTTTTCTTGGGATAAACTTCTTTCTGCTATATAAGGAAGTGAACTTTGTTTGTAACAGACTAAAAGTTTCTGTCCTTATGAGCGCACTAAACGTATGGACTAAACTTTACGGGAACGTGGCCCGTGAGACAGCAAAAACTTGCTTCTTTTGTAAGCGGATGCCACCGTTTTGTGGGCCATTCTATGTGCTTTCTATACCAGGCTAGCTTGGATTCGCCTACACATTAGCTCTCTTCTGGCTAATTTTACGATTTGCTAATATGAGGCTAAACAGGACAGAAACGTGAGCAGTAATATGGCTAGAAGTTCATTTTGTTCAGTTACGGTGCAAGATGCAAAATGCTCTTCCGTTGGCCTAGCGGGATGTTGAGTAATTATCCGTAAGTACAACACAACAATCATTCGCTGAGAATGTTGGAATCTTGCGGCTGTCACTGCAATTACGACGAACCCTCGACGAACGTCGTAACGCAACGACACGCATCAAATGCAGTATGATACGGAATTGATGGGGCTGACAAGGGATTTCCCTCCTGCTCTCTACAACTCAATGAACTCAATGAACACAGCAGCATACCTTATTAATTACTTTTACAATCTACTTTTGACGGTAAACATTCTTTTAACGCGTTTACCCATGAATAGCGCATTCAATGTGACACTTGTCTCATTGTGATACACAGAATTCGCCACAGACGAAAGATCGTCATAATGTGCGATCTCGGATCAATGCACACATCGTTATCATCATACACGTTAGCTAGAGGTGGGGAACACCTCAGCTACTGTGCCGCAATACATAGAAAAAAAGTAGAAGAAAAGCAACTGATGCAAGCTGGCTGAGCTACTGGTAACGGATGGGCATCGTTCCGGTAAGCTACCAGCCGGCTGCTGTGCACCAAAAAAATTACTATGCAAAATTATATAAGGCTAAATAATGAGATCGTGATTCTAGGGGGAGGCTAAGTGGGATGGGGTGGGACAAAGAAACTCACAGCACGAACGCCACTGAGGTCGGCTCCTTGCCATATCAGCAAGTGTGACCAACCAAATGTGTTCATCGTCATTCGGACCCCAACCAGGGAGCCGAGACGCTCCAACCGAGGCCAGCTCAGAAGTGAGGGCCTTCATTCCTCTGAACCAAGTCATCGCTTGGCCACCCCTCCTCTTCTTCCATCCACACCCACGGCGCGCAAACAACGCACGTCGCGGAAGTCGATGGGCTGGAATGCATAACACGTGGCCGAGCCATCGGAGCCTGATGCGTGAAATAACGGTGCTGAGCGGTTCAGTTCCTTTTCCTGTGCCGTAAACATGGTGTCGAACACGCTCGTTGCTCACGCGGTGTTCCCACCAGATGTGAGCTAAATTACGATGGCATCGGTGGTCGAATGTAACTAGCCTCTTCCGGTCCGCTGCTTTAAGCGGCCAGGTTTCACAACCGTACAGCAGGGTCGAATGTACTGCTGCATTGTACACTCTACCCTTCAAAGCAAGGGTGATGTCGCGCCGGCGCCACAAGTGGCGAAGGTTAGCAAAAGCGCCTCGAGGTTTTGCTATACGATTCGTGATTTCATCTTCAATCCCACGGGCGCTGATACAACTTCCCAGGTAGTTGAATTTTTGAACACACAAACCTAGCCCCGCCTTAATGAACTTTTCCTAGTCATTTAATTAAACGACGGCCAACACTGGAATAATTAATCAGTTGCAATGAGTTGTTCATATATGGTAATTATGTATTTATCCTACACAAGTAAACTAATTGCCACCTAGTAAGTATAACCTTGTATTATCAAACGAGACGTTTGACTTGTTTCCGCCTAGTTTGCTACGTTTGCTGTTACTATTGTCCCAACAGGGTGTAGAGTAATTTAAACGTCGCCTGAGCAAACATCGTTTCATTGTGTTCTAGAGTGCAGGGAGAATTTCCTTGTCAGCCCCATCCTTTCCCGTTCACTATAAGGATAATATGAGTTGATGTGGCACAGTGTTCCACAAGGGAGTATTGTGTTCACAGTCAACACTTCAAAATGCATGCTTGTCTAGCGAGTAAATATCTAGTGATCGTTTGAAACATTCTGCCGTTTGCGCACTGATGACCACCTCAGGTAAACGGTCCCAATCATTGACCACACAGGTTGACAAAGTTATATTAGATTGAACCTGAAGCCTCCTTTGTTTAAAATGCTTCATATCGTGGCCTCGTGTCGGACTGCCCGCACAAAAAAGGCGCTTGTATCTCATTCCCATCTCACTTCGAAAGGTACGTCACGTGTAAATCAAGTCTCTACGGCGGCGATGATACACCAGGCACAACAAGTTCATCTTTTGAAGCAATGAGTTGAAAACAGGTTTCGGAGTATGGCGGATTTTGATCCCAGCCGCTGGACCTTTCCCTCAGTATGCATTTGCCTTTCGTGTGAGGATATGGTGCTGACAAACCGTACTCAAAATTGGGTGAATATGTGAGCTGAAAAGAAGTGTTAGTATCTCTGGAATCTCCTGAGAAAAGGATCACTTTATAGAAAAGAATATTCTATTAACAGCGGCAACTTTCTTTAGGGTGTCTTGAGTTATGTGTAGGTTTGGCGAGACAATAACTCCAAGCTTCTTCAACATTGCGTTGCTGAGCAGGAAGCCCTCACTATGATAAACAGCAGAGGGGTGCGGAGCGCCAATTAGGGGAACAAAACACTTAGCATGGTTAATAGGGAGCCGACACTCCATTGACCAGTAGTGAAGCTGGTCCAGCGTTGTCTGTAGCAGTTCGGTATCATCAACTTTAAACACTTATAGCCACAGTTTCATACCATCAGCGTATATGAGGCAATCAGTTTGAAGCTCTGATGAAAGGTCACTGGTATATATTTTGAAGAACTCAGGACCAAGGATAGAGCCCTGTGGAACTCCACTGATCACAAAACAGGATTGGATTAGGTATCGTCCATTTTGATTTGCATTGTGCCACAATACAAGGGACAAGGAGTAAAAACGGTGGCACGCCGACTGAGTTTCCAGTAATGGATGGACATCGTTCCGGAAAGTTAACAGCCGGCTATCGGGCCTCAACATGTTATGTTACGCCTTACGAATGCGATCTTTATTGGAGAGGAGGTTAAGCAGCAGGGGATGGACGAAGAAATTCACAACACAAACACTACTGGGGCCGGCTCTTAGCCCTGTCAGCTAGTGTGTCCAACCAAACGTATTCATCGTCCTTAGGACCCCAGCCAGGCGGTCACGGTACACCAATCAAAGCCAGGTTCAAAGTGAGAGTTTTCATCTCTCTCGACCAAGTCATCGCTTGACCTCCCCTCCTCCTCTTCCAACCGCACCCCCGGCGCGCAATTAATGCACTTCGTGGAAGTCCGTGTGCTGGCATGCACAACCCGTGGCCAACCATCGGATCCTGGTGCTTTATCCAATGGTGTTGAGCGGTTCACTCGCCCTTCTTTCGCCAACTACGTGCCGCCGAACACGCTCATTGCTCACGCGGTGCTCCCACCAGACTTGAGCTAAGCTGCAAAGGCAGCGAGGATCGAATGTGACGAGCCTCTTTGTGTCTGTCGACCTAGTGGACCAGGTTTTGCAAACACATAGGAGAGTTGAACGGATGGCTGCGTTATAAATTCTGCCCTTCAGGGAGAGAGTAATGTCGCGTCTGCGCCACAGGTGGCGGAGATTGGAAAAAACACCTCGAGCTTTTGCTATACGGTTCGTGATCTCACCTTCATTCCTACGGGCGCTAGTATAGCTGCTCACGTACTTGAATTCATGAACGACTTCTAGCTGGTCAGCACAAAGTGTTAGCGCAAGCGTGGGTGTCTGCCAACCTTGGAGAAGTACTTTGTATTTCGATGGAGAAAGGCATAGCCTCAAAACGATTGCAGCCATTGTTAATCGGTCCAGTGCTGCTTGGCAGTTTGGGAGCTGTCACAGATTAGGGCAATATTATCGGCGTACTTTAAGTCAAGAAGTTGCTCATCAGGAAGTAGCTCCACACCTTCTAGGTTGTGTCCAGAGAACACTGTTTCCATGACCTCATCACTAGGGAAATTTAAGAGGAAATGGGACAGCAACAGCACACCGCTGGTGATATGAAGGGGGGTGGCTTTTTGCCATGAACTTTCACTCTGCCCAACCTATGCGCGTAAAGCGCTTTGATAATGCTTACATATTTATCAGGCACACCTTTCCTCAGCAAACAGTTCCAAATGGCATGTAGATCGACTGAGTCGAAGGCACCTTTTACGCCAAGAAACGCGACAACGTTTGGGCGCCAATAAACATGCGGTGCACCAACAGTTGACGCAAGGTGAATTGGAGTCGATGCAGCCCCGACCTCGACGAAACATGGATTGCTCTTCACGAATCGGGCTTTCCCGAATGCAAGTCAGTCTGCGGAGAATAACAGACTCAAGCAATTTAGAGGAAATTGAAAGCAGATTAATCCCTCTATGGAAGTCGCATTCCGAACGGGAGCCTCCTTTGAAAATTGGGACAATGATGGCGCGGCTCCATTATGTCGGGACAGTCACCTGCTCTCAAAGTTTTACTTGCATGTGGTGTAAATCAACTATTAGAGCAGGTTCCCCCGAACTTGTGGATGGCTGGGGGAATTCTCTCTGCCACTGCCGCCTTATGCACTTTCAACAGCTTGCTATCATGTTCGACTTCTGTGCGTGAGGGCGAATCCAAGGAGACGGCCTAGGGAGAAGGGCGCTCAGTGCCTGAAAAAGAAACGGATAACAGGTTGGTTAAATTGCTTTGCAAAGTGTTCGGCCCAACGCTCAAAGCG